GTCGTACGAGGAGCACAGACGACAACGTGGGTCTGGATCGATAAGAACGGAGGCGGTTGCAGCGGTCAAGCGAACGCATTAGCTACGTTTTCGCATTTACCTCCCGTCGTTATCACCACCTATTAATCAAGGGTTCTACTACCTCGCTCGAAAGGAGAATTTCCTCCTGAATCAAATCACTTCCCATGCCTTTAACCCAGCATGCAGCGTTCGCAACCAGAACCGCGATGTTAAGTTAGCAAACACAGCAGTTAGCAAACAAAAAACGACAAAAGCGAATCCCTTACAATATTCTTCATCATGAGCCTGCATGTGCACCTTACCATCGCATTGTAGGCAATCCTCCAAGTTTTGCCTTTATCGCCCAAATTTTTCAGCATGGTCAGGACCAAAAGTTGTGGGATGCGCTAACTCAGGCTTTTTCATCAAAGTCGATCCTACTTCCATTTGTTCGCAGGTCAAGTCCCCTGCACTTCACTACACTCACCTATGAATCACAGGCTTCGCCGCGCTTTCGTGAAGGTAACGCATGCCTTGCGCTACGTCAAATGAAATTCGTAGGCGAAGCGGAGATTCCAAGACACTGAAAAAAATTGGAACTAAAGATGGTCTTTAGAAACGTTTTCCAAGGAAACGGACCGCTTCTGCTCATGCAGAATAGAGAAGAGAGAACCATTGCTGACGAACTCGGTGATGATCGCGAATTGCTGAAAAGCTTTCAAGTGTGACGGGCCGGATAAGGCAGTACCGCCGTAAACTTACACTAGGATCGTCCAGGACCGCTCCCACAAAGGAGACCACGTTCGGATGAGTGAGCTTCGAAAGGATCGATACCTCACGACACAACATCTCCACCTCAGATTTACAACCGTACACTGCAGCTCTGTATCTGAAACAACAAAACTGAGAAAGGACTTCCATAGGAGAGAGAGGAGGGAGTTGTGAAGGGATAACTAATCAAAACGTCACTCAAAAGAGTAAAGGAAAGCGTGGCAATGGTCTCGTTCCCATTTTGGGATGCGCTACGTTTTCGTTCAGGCTCGTTGTAGCGCTTTAGTGTTGTAGGAGTTGGGCTTAATTATGATATCATTAGATAAACTCTGTACTGTGGACCGAGAATGCTTCGATGATACGAGCCTGATTTCAGGAGGCGGAGACAGCGGCGGAGGCGCGAGGCATTCGAGCGAAGTCGACGGGAGTGCAATGGCGGACTTCTGCGACGGAGGAGCGAGAGGACGACGGAGATGGTATTCACTGACCGACTTCCCCAGGACCTCGGGTCGGAAGAGGCCCACACGACTCTGCTGGCTCGTCATGCATCATCTGCCATATTCCACTGTCCTGTTACGCTTGCTCACGGATAAATGTGTTGACTGCAACTAGTATTCGCTGTGAATCGAAGGGGTGAAACACCCTGTATATCACTGTGTGCATATGACCTTTACATGAACTTGCGGAGCAGGTCAATGTGAGGGTCAATTTTTTTATCTCCCGAACTAGATCTTTCGTCACTCAACCAGGCACGACGGGTGAAGAATTGAAGGAGGTTGACTAAGGTGGAGCCGATTCCGGCTTCAATCCCTGATAAATTATGGGGTGATAGTGCAAGTTGTCGTTTCTACATACTTCCCTTTCTTGCTCTACACAGAAAAATTTTTTGAAGCCGTTCTTGAAATCGGATCGAACATCAATAACTGATCCCACTGTTAGGGATAAGCTGCTTCCCTTTCAGTAGTGTGAGCTCAATAGCGCAGTATTCTTGTGACGCGACATATGGCTTTCCTTCAGCTGAAATCTGGAAGGCGAAGAAGGTGAACAAGCAAAGACCAAACATTTTCTGTGTCGCATGTTGAAACGTAGAGTTCGACCAGCAAAGGAAAGCCCTCGGAAGGCAAAAGCTGCCATTCTAATGGTGAATTATCGAAAAGGGTACCATGATGTCCTTGTCCACGGGTTTCCTGTCACACCCGAGGACTCTAAGCCAGGCTCAACAGTCTGGCTCAGACCAAACAAAAGGAGTGTCATAATTGCGATTTTGGGATGGAGATAGTATTGAGGGATTTGGAGGGGGAGGGGTTGTGATATATTGGGTTGGAGCATAATATCGTAGCGTTTTTTTTTCGAGCTACAAATTCAGTGAATACAAGTATTACCCAGGAAATCACATATATCATTTGAAAGTACTTCTTCCGCTCTACAATACCTTGTTTGCATTTTCTTCTATATTGTAAGTGTACTCAGATATGGTGCTTAGAAGTTGGAAAATCAAGGTGGGCGAAAATCTATATAAAGAAAAAAGCTGCCAAAATAGGAGTTTTTCAGAATCCATCGTCATCATCGAACCTTACTCCAGTCGACCCTTCAATTTCAAATCATATTCACGTCGTACAAATTGAGAATAATGAGGACTCTGAAAACGGGCTCAGTACCCTTTTTTAATTTCTAAACCCGGTAATTTCTTGCGAAATGGAATCAAAGTCGTAAATAATGACGAGAAGAACATCACTGATTAGTTTTATGCTTGGCTTTGCTTTTGGGTTTTGCTTTAAACGTTTTTGCCGAATGCGAGCGCTACGATATTATGCTCCAACCATAATAGTAGAAGCTAAACAAGTCTTGCTTCCAGGGGAGGGAGTCGTTTTGGAATTGGAGAGGGGAGACTTTTTTAGCAGTATCACTGCGTGTTGGAGTGCTGGCAATTTAGTGTGGAGAACCCCTCCCAGGCGTTTGGATCTGTCCAAATGTGCAAGACTGACCCTGCCCCAAACAATTCGGTGACGGTACCAGGGGAAGGGACGTTTACTCGCTTAAATGCT